ATTCTTTCAAATATTTCCAGCAGCAGAGTTTCTCCCTTTAAAGCTTGCAACTTACTGGTTAAATAGGAATGCTTTTTATAAAAACACCTTTTTTTTTTTTTTTTACAAAGATACAGCTTGTTTCCCTTTGATCTTGTCCCAAGATGAAACAACCAATTTCATATGTATACATTGGAAAATGCTAAAATTCTTGGATACCAGAAGAGTGTTCTTGAATGCAGAGAGAACCATTCTTACATCATAGTGCAAATTCGATTCCCTATATAAATACAGACTCTGCAAGAGTGAACAATCAAATAAAACAAAACAAAAGGATGCAGGATCTTCCTTTTCACCACAATTAAATCTTGCTTGGGATTGGCTTTGAGTGAGGCTGCTCCAGCCTGGATTGTGGCTAGAGTGGGCCTTTCAGTAGTTCAGTTTACATCTGCACCAATGGAGAGGGAAAGAGTGGTGGGGGGCTTAAAATACATTGCAACCTCTTGACTAAGGGAATTGGACAGAACTTGAAATCCCACATGATTTTCCCTTAAAGAAGGAAAATGGAAACAGGTATTTATTTAATGCAATTCTGTTCATTTACAAAGGATGTTTACAATTATTTTTTCCTCTATGCCCTTAGGAAGACTATTTTGCTTTGAGCACAGGTTTGTCTTTTCCTCTAGGTAATGTTTCCTATAGGGCTGATTTCCATTCACTTTTTAGGATCGTGCTTTTGTGGCCATCTTTGAGGTGTTTGTGATGGGTTTGCCATTTCTCTTTTTTGCATGCACATACACACACACAAAACCTACATAACTGTTGCATTTGGTATGAGAAACTCACTAAGTGCCTGTACCATCTGGCTGAGCCACAACAGTGCACATTTGCATGTGGTCTGGCTCCTGGGTGGCATTTTTGCATTGTTTCAGCCCTCCCTAGACAAAGAGGCATTTAATTGTGTCTTCAATGAGCCTGAACAGGAGACAGCTACCAAGAGCTTCACTGGGAAAGGGGGACTGCCCAGCCCCCAGTGCTGCAATGTAGAGAAGCAAAGCGAGGAGGGGGGGCCAAGCTGAGGTGCTCTCTTAATTAAGTAATGTCAAATTCAGTGGCCATTTTGTCCCTGAGCTGCAGCTGTCTCAGCTGCCAGCTGCTCTTGCTTTTCCACGGCTGCTCTGTGACCCATGAGACATCACTGACCTCCCCTTGTGCCCTCTTTGCTGCCCTCACATTCTCCCAGCCCTGCATCACTTTGGAGAAGTTGGGAGGACAGCAGTGGACACAAATCAAGCATCATGAATGGGCTATAAATTCGTGACTCATGTGCAGGTCTCTGTGTGTGTTGGTCTGTAACACAGGGGGACAGGCAGCCAGAAAGGGATGTGAAAAGCCTGACAGAGAAAAAAGACCTCTGCTCAGGTAAGGTCATAGCAAAGGTCAGTGAACTTCCCCAGTGAGAATGAGTGTGCCACCAGATAATGGGAAATGACATGGATGGACTTCCAGGATGCAGGAGCCAGTTCACTTTGTAAATCAGAACATCAAGGCCAAATTGGAAAACAAAAGCATTGAAATACCACAGAAACCACATAATTTTTAATATGGGGATAATGATGTAGGGCTGTTTAAAAACCATTTCAGCAGCAAATCCTAGGCCAAATCTTTCAGGGTTTGTTATTCTAGGCTGATCTGCCATTGCGGTCTGTGTTCTTTCCAAAAACTGCAGAGAACAAGTACACAAGTTTGCAAATTCCTCAATTTGGGGGCTTGCTGTTCTTTAAATTACACATACATTTAAATTGTTTAATTAATACATGCATCCTTGGCTTCTCTAAGGAAGCAGGGAAACAGCATGCCTTTAATTTGCACTTCAGAAATACAGCAAATAAATGAAACCAAATAACAGAAGGAACTCCATCTACTAGTTAGAGCAGGAGTCCTCTTTTTTCCTTACATGCCTTCTTGTTGATCACTACAAAATGAGCACAAGCATATACTGACATTGTTCCAGTAAGAATGAAAGACAAAAATAGGAATAAGTTGTGAATTTATATTCAGATATGAATTTGAATGTGAATTAGATGATCATAAAATTTAGTAAAGTATCCTAAATTATTAATAACAATTGTACTGAAATCTCATCAAGAAGCAGATGAAGACATTTGAGCAGGAGACAGACACCAAAACTAGATCAGCCAGTATCCTTCAGGATTTTTATACCATGTCAGTGACAACAGGTACTTGCAAACCCTGCTTAACCAGGCAAACAATGTCTGTAACTCCTTAGGGTTCCTTAAATGGAGCAAAGAGGCAACTAAAATGTATGAAGGTACCTGTCCTGCTTTGCTTGCTTGCTTGGTTTGTTGGTTACTTGGAAAAGCAGCACTGATTTTTCACAGTACAGCACCTGCTAGCACATGGGTCATTAAGGAGTGATCTGCCCATTCAGTAACATTTTCCTTTAAGAAAAGGTTAAAATAAGCAACGATGTGTCCTTTAAAGATATTCCATGGTGTTGGTTGGCAGTTGGTTGCCTATCTTCAGAATTTGGACATAAAAACTGTCACAGCGTGAGCTGCATGAATCAGAGCACAGCTATTTTCACTTGTTTAAGAAAATAATTATTGTAATCTTTGTGTTTTGCAGGCACCCTAGAAACATTCCTAATTTGCTCTGACAGTGAATTCATGCTTTCTACAAATGGTAGGCTATGATACAAGTATTACCAGTACTGGAGAAATGAAGGTGAGAACTGTCAGAAACACAGGTGTCCACCTGCAACTACACTTCAGTAATAGCATGACATCAAATTCCTTTGGTTAATTTGCCATGCTAAGTGAAACAGCTTTTCACACAGCAAACCTGGGTCATGCACTGTATCTGCTGCCCTTGTCCCATAGCTGACTGGGCTACTTAGCCACTTTTTACCAATAAATGCCATCATAATGCATCAAGTAGATTTATATGGATATACTTATTCTGAAAAAATAGGATCTATGCTTTTCTGTTCTGGGAAAGCAGAAATTTTCACCAAACCTCTAGCTTAGGAGATAAGCCTAAGCCTAGGAAATAAAGATTTTTTAAATTGATGTTATTCTTTATTAAGGATGGGGACAAAAGACCATGGGAAATAAGACAGTTGCAGAAAATACTGAGATTATAGTTTGGATTTTGAATCACACTTTTTGGGGAGCCATCTGGATGCTGGGAAAACAGGAGAATATTTTGTGTACTAAGATCAGAATAAGGACTGGTGCAGTTTCATTGAAGTTAATGACACTGAAGTAGAAAGACAGAATCTCATCCTGCAAAGTTTAACTGAAATCATAGTCTGAAATTGCCAGCAGTGGGAAGACAGATGAAATTTAAACAAGGAGTGGGATCCCAGTACTAAGGGCTGGATCTTGCAGATACATGCTCTGAAGGGTTTGCAGCTCTTCTCCCACTCAATAGGCATCTCCCTGTGCTCTTTTTGAAAGCAACTTCTTATTGACATGAACCAGTAAAAAGCATCTCGCTTTTTTTAAGCAAGATGGTATTAAGTTAGAGATGTTTTAGTACATAGGATAGTGATTGTTCCTCTGTGATACTGTTGAGGCTGCATCTCAAATCCTGTGTCCAGTTCTGAGCCCCTCACTACAAGAAGGACATTCAGGTGCTGGTGCATGTCCAGAGGAGGACAATGGAGCAGAGGAAGGAGCACAACTCTGGTGAGAGGGAGCTGGGGGTGCTTAGCCTGGGGAAAAGGAGGCTCAGGGCAGATCTTATTTTTCTTTACAACTGCCTGAAAGGAGGCTGTAAGCCACCTGGGGGTTGGTCTCTTCCCCCAGGTAACAAGTGACAGGACAAGAGGAAATGGCCTCAGGTTGTGCCAGGGGAGGCTTAGACTGGATATTAGGAAAACTTTTCTTCATAGAAAGAGTTGTAAAGCATTAGAACAGGCTGTTCAGGGAGATGGTAAAGTCACCATCCCTGGAAGTGTTTAAAAAACATGGATATGGCACTTGAGGACGTGGTTTGGTGGTGACCATGGTGGTGGAGCATTGTTGACAGTTGGACTTGATGATCTTAAAGGTCTTTTCCATCTATGATTCTACAATGACACTAAGTTTGACAACACCCAGAGAACATAAGCAGTCATCTTACAGGCGCAGGTAGTATCTTTTTTCACTCTCTAACCCATGCAAATGGAAGAAATATAATATGTGCATTAATCACATTTATTTTTATGACAGATCATTGGTTTCTAGTCTTTCTCTTTCCAGGAAGACAATCAGCATCCTTCATGTGACAATGTCACCTTGACTCTGCAGCCTGTTTTTCTAATTTTAGTTACTGCCTTACTGAATATTGAATTTGTGATGGTTTTACCTGGGCTAAAAATAGAGCAAAAGAATTGTTATAAACCACACAGACAGACCTACATACCACAGCCCACACTCCATAATAAAGAAGATATGCTTGAGAAATTTCTTGTACAGCCTCGCAGATGAAAACTACGGGAAGTTCTTCGCTGAATCAATTATGGTTGGAGGGGACCTCTGGGGATCATCCAGGCAGGGTCACCCAGAGCAGGAGTGTGTCCGTGTGAGTCTGGAGTGGCTCCAGAGAGGGAGAGTCCATGATCTCCCTGTTACCCTCATTGTAAAGAAGGTCTTCCTCATGTTGAGGTGAAACTTCTTGTGCTTTAGTTTACGGGCGTTAACTCCTCATCCCCACCGAAAAGAGTCTGAAACCATCCTCTTGACACCCGCCTTTGAGGCATTTATGCGATCCCCTCTCAGCCCTCTGTTCTCTGGGCTAAACAGGCCAAACACCCTCCTTGCTGTGAGGGCGGCGAGGCGCTGCCACACGTCGCCCAGGGAAGCTGCGGATGGCCCATCGCTGGGAGCGTTCAAGGCCGGCTTCCATGGGGCGTTGAGTCCCGGAGCCTCCTCCGTCCCTCCCTCTCCCCTCCGTCCGTCCCGCTCTCCCCGCCCGCCCCAGCCGGCGGCAGCTCCGGGCGGCGGCTCCTCCCCCGTGGCCGCCCGGCAGCATGGCGGCGGCGGTGGAGACCCGCAGAGTGTGCGAGACCGCCGGCTGCAGCAGCGAGGCCAAACTGCAGTGCCCCACCTGCCTCAAGCTGGGCATCCAGGGCTCCTACTTCTGCTCGCAGGTGAGCTCCCCCGCGGCCCAGCCCCTCGCTCGGCGCTCCGGGCGTGCGGCGGGCGCACGATCCAGCTCCCCGCGCCGGCTCCCGGCCGCCCGGGCCCGGCCCGGCGTGCCCAGCTCTGCCTCTCTGCCCGCCCGCCCCCCGCCAGCCTGGGCCAGCAGCGCCCGGCCGGGGACCCCGCGGGAAGTTCCCCCTCGGTTCCTCGGCTGTTGGAGCCGGGGGAGCCGGGCTGGCGGCCCCGGCGGGGAGGGAGCCCCGTTCCTCCTCGTGGCCGCGGGCGGTGCGGGACCTCGGCAGCACCGAAGCGCAGCCGGAGGGCTCGTGAGAGGGTGCACGGATGTTCTCTGCCTGAAGGGGTGGGTGGTCCGTGTGCCCCCCTTAAAAATAAAGGCTTAGTGGGACAAAGTGAGGACGTGCTCATCAAATTCCAGCGGCTGCGTTTCCCTGCCGGCGTCAGCTCTGGAGTTGCTCGGCTTTGATAGACACCGGGAGACTTGTTGCTCTGAAAACAGATTTTCTTTAAGTTATGAGTTTTTGTGAAAACTATCTGCTACCCTTCCGTTTTTGTGTTATTCCCTTTTCATTCCTAACTTCTTTTTTCCCCACTGTGTCCTTTGGTGTTCTGCTCTGAGGGTGCCAAACAGGAAGGTTCAGGTTAGGCCACATGTCATACAGCAGTCAGCTCCCACGTAGAAATGTGAAAATTGGACGTGTTCTGTGGGCCACAGTGGTAACAGAGTGTGGTCCTTCTATAGAAAGAGCTGTCTGATGACTGTTTGAGTGTCGTTTTTGTTTGTGGGGTTCCTTTTGGTTTTGTTTGGGGTTTTAATTAACTTTCAAATGTGCACTGAAATACATAGCCTAATCCTTTGAACTTTTTGTATGTGTAATTCTGTCAAAATCAGTAAGGACTTACGTGTTCAGTTCAGAGATTAACACTGGCTTTCCTTGTCACAATTATAACACAATAAAGTCACTGAACTTTTGTGGATAAACATAAGAAAATAATTCAGTCACATCTGCTAGATTAATTTATTAATTGGGAAGAATTTTTTTCCGAGTCAGGGTGTAAGCTGATAGTTATGGTTTGCATAGGACTAGGGGAAAATTTCCCACGTGCTTGTGACACACCCACTGCACAGCTTCTGGTACTTTCCCCTGAGGTCTCTGCCCTGTGCTGGGAGTTGCTGCCAAATTAGAGTGACTGCAGCTCAGAATTGTTCTGACAATTCTGCGTCTCTAGTTCCCACGTGGTGCTTGTGGTTAACTTCTAGGGATTTGCTCTGTTTTGACATGTCTGATATAAAACTCATCATAAATGCATCATCAGTGTATACAAATATTGGTTGGTGATGACAAAACCATTTGTTAAGAGAACAAACAGGCCAGCGTGAAGAGTTCCAGTTACATCTTCACTCCCCTCCTTCCCACCTCTAACTCAGCTAATTCCATGCTGAGATTCTGGTTTTCTATATACTGAGTTTAATTATTTGGAAATATCTGCTGCTGTTGTTAGGAAAAAGGAGAATTACTGGAAATACTTTTTGGCTTGCTAAAATAGGCTGCTGGATGACTGACAACATGCTTGCAAAGCTGTCCTGCCTAGAAAATGAAGTACTGAACTGGGAATCCCAGTCATCTCATTTCTGAGTGACTTGGGGCGTGTTGTGCCTTGCTGTGCCCATCAGCAATGTGGGTAAGCACACTGAAGGTGCACTGGAGGTTTTGGGGCAAGGTGTTACAGAGAAGGACATTAGTGACAGCCTGTTTTAAAGATGTGCAAGAAATGTCATGCACAGAGAGGAGAGTGCCCATGTTCATCCTGTGGCAAGGACCCTCGGCCCCCCTGAGTGCCCTGTGTTGGCCCAGCATGGATGGAGCTGTCCCGAGGCTCCAGCTGTCCTTGTCTGGTGTGTGCCATGGAGGAGACTCGCTGCCATCCTGCCCTAGTGTCTGGCAGGCACAGTCAGGAGGGTGAGGGAGGTGCTGCTGACAACCTGGCTGCCTCTTCAAATAAGCACATGGCAGGTGAACTTCCAGCTTATTTTCTCTGAACTTCCAGCAAGTTTCAGCTGACAGCAGTGGACTGGTTAGCATCGGTGAAACTTTTCTGGAGTTCTCTCTTTGGTGGTTTTCTTTCCATTCTGGTCTTACATGCATAAATAACTCTTAGGTAAGCTAGTGAGCGGACCTAGGATGTTATTCCACCTCACAGCACAGCCTGTGTTGTAGCTGGCTTGGTGCTGCTCCCTCCCTCTGAGGATGCAGGCTTCTACCCATTGCCTTAGGCTGTCCCTGATTCCTTGGTGAGCCACTTCTGAGGCCTTCAGAGTTTTCTTTTAAATGGAGGAAAAGGAGTTGCATTAATTGTTTGGGGTTTTTTTGCTGGTTTAGCACTGCAGGGTCATGAAACACTTCAGGAGTGTGCTGCTGAAGAGCAGGCTTGCCCACTGTGGCCCAGTTCAGCCCAACCATAAAGTCAGCCTGTCCTTATGGAATGCACCGGTGGGAGCCAGGTGTGTGGGCGCTTCCTTTGGGCTGAGGGTGGATTGGGAGCCACAAGCTATCTGCATCTCCTTGGCAGGTAAAAGCATCTGTATGGGCACAGACACCTGGTAGTTAATCTGCTTGGAAGCCTACAATGACTTTTTCTTACAGCCAAAACTCCAATCAGAGCTAAAACCAAATTTGTAGGAATTTATTTTCCCTAGTGCTAAGATTAAACAACAGAAAATTGTGAACTGCTGTAGGATGGTAACCATGTAAAGCCATGTGTTTGGATTATAAAACACTAACATGTCATTTGCTAAGAAAGAATTGATAGAGGACTGAAAGGTATAGGAGGTATAGTAAGTATAGGGCTGAGGATCCCAGTATAGTGTGGAGATTGATTAAAAATTATTTTTCATGACTGCACATAGAGAATTGAAGTGAACTTTCCAAGTAGATTGTGTCAAGACAATGATTTCCCTGGTGAATTTATCATTTGTGTTTCTCCTTTCCTGGAGAAAGGGTGTTATTCTGGTCACTTATTTTTTTCTCTTTCTCTGCATCAGAACATATGCCTCAACAACATGCTCTGAAAATGCTTCGGCTGGAGAAATTTGACATTCTCTGGGGTTTCTTTGAGCCAACACTGTTTTCTCTCTGGCTTTTGGGCACCTTGGAAGCTGGGTACAGCTGCTAAATAATAGTTGTGCTTATGGATCATGGATGGAAAGGGGGCCATGTTGCCTAGCAGGGAGGTTTTGAACTGGTCATGGAGACAAGTTGAAAATGGCTTTTAGCAGCAGAGAAGCTCTTGAGATGGTATGTTGAACCCTGGCTTGTTTTTTTCCCTTTCACTTCAAGCTGTAACAAGAGGAACTGTTCTGTTGGGGGATTCTGTCTGCTGTTAACCCTTAGTAATATTTTAGGCTAGTAGATCAAGTACTGTCACTACCAGCTGCCTTTTTTCACTGTCTGGTTTTCTTTTTATTTAGAGACTTACTGCAGTGTTGTGTGTGTTTATCATCTTATGGCGAGATACAGTAATTCATTTATCTTCTGAATGTGGAAATCACACAGATGTCCAGCCTCACATCTCAGGTGTAGTTTCTCTTGCTAAGATGAATTTGTTATTGTGAAATCTGCCTTACAGATACAGTCACTTGCATGTACATTGTGTGTGGTATACATAAAGGGTTTGTGTTTAAAGTAGACAATTTGCATTTCTTTTTTGTCTTCTACAAGTGGCTGAAGGATAAAGAAAGGGAGAGTAGTGACTGTTTTTGAGAACTCCAGTTACCATTTTTATATGAGCCTTCTAATTGTGAATGGATCACTTATGAGTGATTTTGTGTTGCTTTTGTGAAAAACTTTATCTTTCATACTACTTACGTAAGTGTCTTGGGCAAAACAGAATAGGTTTACTGTGGTGTGGACTAGATGCTACTACAGGGCCATTTCTGCAGCCAAATTCACAAATACCTACTTGTATTTGTGACACATTGGGGAAACATTCTCTTCCTCTGAAGTCAGTGGCCTTTGCCATTTTTGTTTCTCTGAGAGCTGGTGGCCATGGGTTGTATCCTAGTAGTAGTCATAACTTACTCAAGGAGAAGTGCTGCCCCTTCCTGTTTTGTGTGCCCTTGTGCTGTCAGCCCCAGGTGTATGAAGTGGTCTGGTTATGGAGTCAGAAGTGAGGACTGGGGTTACCTGGTGACTCTGCCATGTGTGTTTTGGGTGTTTGAAGGGGTAGCATTTCTCTGAACTGTACAGTCAGGGTCAGTGTCTCTCTTGCACTGGTGGATGCCTCCCAATATCTCGTGATACCTCTTGATATCTGAGGTGGGATATGATTTTCTTCAGCAAAGAAATGCTGTTTTGCTCTCTCAGTGAGTTTATCTACAATTTACTGCTTTCTGGAAGGCACATTTTCACTGACACTCAGCCCTGGGCCCTTGACAGCTTTGGATGCTCAAGGTGACAGTAACTTGTGAAAAACTGTGGACCTGAAGAGAGGATTGTTGTCCCATCTGCTGCTTTGCTGTTCCCTTTCACTGTCAATGTGCTGGGGATGGGGGAGCAGGGAGCAATAGACCTGGATGAAACTATCTTTTGTCCTCTCTCACATCAGACCATAGGACATCAGTGCAGTGTTTCATCCTTGGTTCAGTGTTCTTTGTGCCTGAAATAGGCTGGAATCAGCTGCTTGGGTTCATCTGCAGCACACAGGAGTTTCCTCAGGCATAAATGGCACTCAGCTGATACCATCTTCTAGAAAATCAGATCTCCTTCATCAGGAAACTGACATTCTCAATTGCCTATAAATCACCATGAATACCTGTGTCTGAGGTAAGCACCTGATTGTTGGTGAGATATGAAAGCTGAGTCCTCGTGACTTTCTGAAAGTAAAACTTCAGACTCTTGTAGGGAGACCTGCTGAGCTAGAGTTCCATGTACTGACAGGATAGTCCAGTTGGAATTCCTCTGGTCCCTTGTTTCTTCACTACACTCAAAAATCAGTTGGATATTTCTGTAAATCTGAAGAGCTGCAAAATGCAGTCCCTTCCACAAAGGGTCATGAAGGACCCAGGAGTCCCAGGGTAAGATGGGGTCTTAGATGAAGGAGAAAGTCAATCAACCCTGCTGACACCAAGGCTCTGCATGTAGGTGCTTCTCTTGGAGTTGAAAACACATATTCTGAAAACACATATCCAACTCTTCTGAAAAACTGACTATTCATGTGTCCTGCTTAGACTACTTTGGGAATTTTGTACTGAGTTTTTCAGGCTGGAGGCTGTCTCTGTGGGCTTGTACTGCCCTTAGAAGTATTTCACTATGCTGAAAAGTATCAACTGTTTCATTTAACATAAAATGTATTAACACCTCAACATACTTGTACTTATGGGTAAAATATGAATTAATCTGTATTGTATTTAATATGTATATATAATTGATAGCCTGGTATTAAACTAAATGCTGTACTTCAGAGGTTTTTTTTTGTCTTCTGTTTTGCATACCTTTAAGGTATTTGGTTAAAAATGAGTTCTCATCATGCAAAATGACTTGGTCTCAGGTTAAGCCCCAGACAGTTTTACATTCTAAAGGACATTTGTAAATTCTGTTAAAAAGATTGGTCAGAGTATTTTTAGCTACAGTGTGCTGCTTGGCACTTGCAGTTTGTCCATTGCAGTTCAGGATATAACGACATGCAAAGAGACAGTCTGTCCTCACAGTCTTGATTCTTTTTTTAAATTTTCTGTAAAGTAGAAAATTTTTGAAATTCATTGCAGTGGCTCTAAATGATGACCATAGAGGATGGAGGGGGTGATTCTGTGGAAGTTGGACACAAGTTGGAGTGCTGACAGGGGGATTGCCAGAGCTAACTTGAAATGAGCCTTTCCCATGCAGAGGCAGTGCAGAAACACCGTCTGTCAGCATGTCTTGGGTTCTGTGCTGTGGTGGACTTGGCTATCATAGAGTGGCCTGGCTTGGAAGGGACCATAAAGACCATCTAGTTCCAATCCTCTGCCATGGGCAGGGCCACCTTCCACTAGACCAGGTTGTTCAGAGCTCTGTCCATCCTGGCTGTGAGCACATCCAGGAATGGGGCATCCATGTGTCTGGGTAGCTTATTTAAATCTAGTTTGTTATATCTGTGCTGTACACAAGTTTGTAGTGTAGTAATATCCTAATCTTGATTGAGCATCCTTTATTCCTCTGGAATTTGCAGTTGGCTGTACTTTTCCACCTCTTAATCAGATTGTATGCATACATGAACTGAATCGATAAGAAGCTTTCTGTTATTATTGTAAAAATGACAATAAGCATAGAAGAATTTTTTCCCCTAATTACTTCAATAACTATTTTAGCGGGTTTTGTTATTTCAATGATTGATTAAAAAAAAAAAAACAACCTCGAGGTATTTGGTAGTGATCAGTGTGTTCATAGTGAAAATGCACCATGCTATAAAACAAATACTGCCATGTCACATGATTCTCTTGATATTGAGTGACTCCTTAAGGTAAAAATCATTTTCAGAAATAGCACATCTTCCACAAGGGGATCCAGCAGGAATCTTTTCAAATGGTAATGCTGGTTGTGCCTTTGGTTACCTTTTGATATATTCTGATCAACACTGGGTTGAACTTGTCTCTAAACACAAAGCCAGTGGGATTGGCTTAAGAATGTCCCGAAGCCAGAAATGTTGTTGAAGGTTTCAGTATGTTGGCTGCCTTTGTCTAGAAGACACATTTATATTTTTCTTTCTGATAGAATAGTTGTACCCAGGATTGCCCTAAACAAGTCAAGGATTACCCCTCTGCTTTTTTTTTTGGTCATACATTTGACCTCTCTTCTTGTACAGTCCTCTTCAGTGTTTCCATGTCTGTCTTGATTGAGGTGTAAAAGTCATATGCAATAAAAAAGAAAAATGCTTTAGGTGCAAAGGGCGGGGCTATTAATATCAGGCATGATATTGGATTATGTAGTGCTTGAAATGGGAAGCACTAGGAAGTCTTCCAAGGAACTTGAGGCCAAATTCATATTGTTCCTGTGTACTTTCCCACTGAAGTGAATGTTTTAAAATATAGCCATGCAGTGTTACATGTTCCTTTTTTCACTCTATCTGAAAAAAAAAATCTGTAGTTTCTTCATTTTAATATTAAAAGTCACCCTGGATATTTTTTCCCTTGGATTTTGTTTATTTAGTCATTGAAAATTTTCTATCCTGACCTGGATAGGAGCACAGAAGAGTTGTTAAGAGACAGGAAGGGCGATAGCCAGATTGAAGTAGATGTGTCAGGAGAAGGCTCAGTGAAAAGCATGATTTTCTCCAGAAAATACTCCAAAAAGTGGCCCAGATGGAGAGGAAGAGTAGGTTTCTTCCACAGCTTGTTGGGAAGCCTGCAGTATAGAGGGTGAGGGTGTTTGCAATGTGCGGTGGTACTTTGGGGGTGCTTTGTTGCCAGAGCTATGGTTCTCCACCCTGTGAGATGACAGCTGCCATATTTTTGTGTGGAACTGCCAAGGCAGAGCTCTGCAGTCATGTGCAGTGTGGTGCTTGTGCAGTGGGTTGTTGGATATAAATAATTTGCATGTACCCGGTCAGTGCAGTGCTCGCAGGGAGCGTATGACTGATCCTACACAAAATAGATGGGCTGTAGGTGGATGTGCAGCATGTCCTGTGAGTGCCTTCCAGCAGTGTCAGACCAAGGCAGAGAGACTGATGGGTTGTGCAGTGCACTTGTAACAGCCCCTGCTCACCAAAATGTTCTGGATGAACCGTGCGTGCCTGTTGCAGTTGATGGCTGTGCCGGTGTCTGGTTGTAGTGAACATGATTGCACCTTTGGAGCTGTGCCCCAGGAGTTCTGGCAGAGCTACTGCTCCTCTGGAGATAGAGGGCAAGTAAAATTTCAGAAACATGTTTGGGACAACTTAGGCATGTGACAGCCTTATGCAGAATCATCTTAGGTTGTCCACAGCTGCAGGAAATGAAAAGCCAAAATGGAGTTCCCCAAGTTATACTACTGTCCCTGGTGCTGTGTTTGCCTGGTTTTTTCTGGTTGGGGGCCAGCACAGTGGAAAGGCTGTTGGTATAGGACAAAGCCAGGGCATTGGAGAACATCCCCCAAAATTTAATGGGAAAGCAGAGAATGAACTACAATCAGTAATTGCCACAGCTGATGTATTCCTTCCCTTCTTCCTTCCTTCCTTCCTTCCTTCCTTCCTTCCTTCCTTCCTTCCTTCCTTCCTTCCTTCCTTCCTTCCTTCCTTCCTTCCCTCCCTCCCTCCCTCCCTCCCTCCCCCCCCCCCCAAATACTCCTTTATATTCAAAATAGTGGGTTCTAGGTTTGCAGACTTGGTAGCTGCTCTAAGTCCTTAGCTGCTTAGTCCTTCTTCAGAACAAAGACCTCGTGTTTGAAAAGGGATTAAAACCATACTGGTTCTTCCAGTGTCCTTGAAATAGCGTTTTTAGGTATTTTTTTTATTATTTTTTGTTTCCCTAAGGCAGGCCTCAGTTCAAACCTGTTCCTTTCCTCCCAGCTGTCCAGCAGAGAACAGTGCAGTGCAAAGGTCTGTGTTGCAGTGGGTTATGTAAGTGTGACAGTAAACTTGGGCTGCTGTTGGAAGTGGCGTTCTCTCCGGTCATTGGAAGCGTTGCTGTCAGAGCTCCTGGCAGTGCAGTCCCTGCTGGCGTGTGGGGCAGCACAGCACAACGAGCTCTGGTCCTGAGGGGACAGCACATACACAGCAGGGTCTCGTTGAACGTAGGTGTGCTTGTGCACCACTGTTCTGTGTGTTTGTGGGTGCACTTTGGTACCTGCTGGTTGCAAGACTGATGAGGGAGGAGGGAGAGGGTGGCTCAACACCAGCAGACTGCTCAGAGAGTTCCAGAGCAGCCCTGAAGCAAGGGTAGAATGTTACAAGCTGGGCTCAGTTCGCAGATGTGTTGTCTTGGACTGGTTGAGGGTTGTATACTTTAGGTTGAATCAGTTGTTGGCTCTGGGTGGTAGTTTTACAGTGATGATTCAGCATTAATATTGTTTCTCCTTAAAAAGAAAACCAGTTTGCTTCCTGCCTCTTTCTTCAGAATTTCAGCTGTAATTGTCAATGATTGGAATTAGCAGTTTCTTAATGGATGTTTTGAGTGCACATAGGCATTGATTTAGAATTTTTGCTACAAACCCAAGTAATTTGCTAATTAGTACCTTAAAGGATCACCTTTAATGCTGCCTTCTGCAGTTTTTCTGCTTGAATCTCTTTTCTTTCATGTCCTTTCTTCATCTTAGTCTTTCTTTATTCTCCAGCTGCTAGTCATTTCCATCTGCCCCTTTGCTGATTCTTTGTTCCTTGCATTAACTGCTCTATTTGTGCTTGGGAAGAAGAGAAAAGGCCAGACTCCTCCACAGTCACTCTTTTCTTGATTTCCATTTCAACTTTCTCAATATTTTTTTTTCAATTTCCTATTTTCACTCAGTAGCCCTCATTTCCGCCCTTTATTCTACTTCATTAGTTCCCCTGTGGTTGTGCTAATTGGCCTCTGTTGCTTTCCTGTGCTGGAGCAGGAGGCAGAAGGGATGCAGTTAGCAGGAGGAGGTGGATTTTTCTTGGAGTCAGGGGAGGACCTTGCTGCTCACTGCAGCGCTGTAAGGTCAGGTACAGAGAAAAACTCTATTTCAGCCAACCTGCAGCCACCATGGTGTTTAAATAATGATAAATACACAGTCTATAGGATTATGTCAGTGTATTTCACTGCCATGGGTGTTGTCTATTTGGCTGTGCTTTTTCTGCCTATTCTGATTAATGAACTTTTGAATGTGATATTTTTTATTGCTAAGACTAGCAGTTACCAGTAGCATTTGCTGCATATTGCTGCAAGGGTTAATAAAAACAGTCTTCCAGTTTTCTTTAAAATCCATTTGCTTCTCCATTTTGTCAGCTTGGCATGTCTGTCCATGTAAATACTGCTTAAAACAGATACATTTTTGTTTGCAATTCTAGGAATGCTTTAAGGGAAGCTGGGCCACTCACAAGTTACTGCACAAGAAAGCAAGTAAGTACATTACTTTTTAAAATGCATTTTTCATATTTCTTTGAATTGGGTTTGTGATGTGCAGTGAGCTGTAGGTAGCCTTGCTTCAGCTGGGGATTGGACCAAATGACCTCCAGATGTCCCTTCCAACCTCAACTGCTCTGTGCTTCTCACCTTGGAATGGTATTGGGTTTTTTCCCAAGATACCTGGCACTGGGTGATGCATATCTGAAATTTTGTCCAGTTCTCAACAATCTAAAGCACTGTGTAAAATTTCAGAGGCAGAGGTTCACAGAAGTGTTTGTTTCTGTTCACTTTTCTATTTGCATGAATTACTGCTTGAGCTACATTGCCAGGTATATGAACACAGAAGGAGTGGTGCTGAAATAAAGGACAAGGAGAATAATAAATCACTACTGTAGGGCAGTGTTCCTTCATAGCATTTTGATGTCTAATGCAGTCAAAGGCAGTGCAGTGGGAAAGGTTCTTGCAAAGTCTTTGTGATTAGACACTTGCTGGAGCACAAGTGAGTCAGAGTGCAGCTGTTCTGTACATTTTTGGGAAAAAAGGGAGCATGCTTGTGTGCATGGTGCAGCCACTGATAGAGGATGTATCATAGCTAGGATTTTGCTGAGTTCAGTTCAAAGTAGTAAGAGTATCTGTGTGCCCTAGTGACAGCTGGTAGCTCTGTCACAGAAATACCAGGAGACTGGTAGATTCTACCTTATCTGAGTAGTGAAAATAACCCCTAAGTTTAAAACCAGAGAGAGGGCAGACCTCAGTTCTGCCCCCTTGCCTCCTCCCTGCCACCACCCTGCCTATCTTCATTAAGCCCTGATGAAAAGGGAGGTAGGATTAAAAAGTGATATGGCAGAAACTCACATCCTCAAATAATTTACCTCCTTTCCTAAAACCCAATAAAGCTTCTTTTTTCATGATAAATGTTGAATGGTAAGTAGAGTAGTACAGATAATTACAAATGTTTTCCTTCTTTCTGCCTTCCTAGTGTAGGGATCCAGTAGTTGACACTTGCATTCTGCATCCTATTAATTTGGGTGATTATGAACAGCTTTGGACTTTCAAATTGTTATTTCTCAGTTTCATCTGAACTGAATGTCATCTGAGCAGATGGCTTAGATGTCAACCACAGAGGCTCTGAGGAATTGACATTAGGTTTGCAATGGCAGACCTTTTGCTACCTCTTCATCCTTCTGAGATACAAAAAGAGAAAACAAACAAGTTATCCAGTTATGAGTTAAAGATTAATGTTACCAAGCTCTTCCTTAACCCTTGCCTTCTGTTTCTGAATTCTCCTTTTGGTATTGCTCAGGATCTGCTTGTTTCAATCCTTTATTTAAACACCTTCAATTTGCCTTCATAGGAATATGTTGTTTGTGAATGAAGTCAGTCATTGGGCCACATCAGACGTGAATTTCACAAGGTTTGGAGAGCTGGGAAGCTCCAGCAGTTGGGGACCATCCCCTAAGGTGTGAGCACCGTTTGTCCTGAACTGCAGAAGTGGCAGGACCTGCACTCTCTCCAGCAGCTCTGGAGGGGTAGCAGCCTCCATGTGTTAAGCCTGACAGTAGGATGGCCTCCCTTCCACCTTTGGATGGTCTCCTTCCCACCTCAGGTCATTTTGGTCACTGGGTGCTAAGGGAGATCACAAGGAAGGAATGTTCCCCTGCAGTGCAAGGGTGTTAATTGAAGGGATACTGAGTGCCTCTGTAGAAACAGGCTTTTTTCCCAGGAATGAAACAAGCACTGTGCTATAAAACCGCAAATGAAGAACAACTTAATTACTGCACTTTCTTTGTGCATTCAGTCCTGACATTACCCAGTTTGCTGTTGAATAGGGTGGGAAGAATCTGAATTTGGAATGGACAACACAAAATGATAACTGCTACTTACACTTGCATATATCAGTATCTGAAATTCCAGAGAGACTCAGGTCTAGACTTAGGCACTTCTAAGTCACTTTCTAGACCCACAGTTCTCATTCTTAGTAGGACAGGTTTTGCTGCTGCAACTTTTTTCCCCCTTTTTCTTATCTTTTCAGAAGATGAAAAAGCTAAACGTGAAGTTTCCTCCTGGAGCCTGGAAGGTGATGTCAACACAAATCCCTGGTCTGGTTATCGTTACACTGGGAAACTCAGGCCACACTACCCACTGGTAAGCAACAGGTGCCACTACTGCAGCCCTGCTGTGTTCTGAGCAGCTCATGGACCACTCCTGACCTGATGACCTCCCGCATTTTTGCTGAGAGAGGAGAGCTTCTCAATCTGAGCCCCATGGCAAGGACATGATGGCTGTCCTTATCATGGTTCATTTTATTTTAACTTGTTCTATCTCCTGGTATATTTATAATTAAGGGAGTGCCTGTGAGCATCAGTAACAGGCTTAAGGTCATACCCTTTGGATGTACACTGTGACATTTATTCTGCAAAAAAGCTACTGCTAGTTCAGCTGATATCTCCCAGCTGTTTGTTGTCCTCACCCGTTATAGAGCAGTCTGTTTCTAAAAAGTTCAGGTGAATTCATTCAGAATTTAAATAAATGGTTTTTTATAATATTATATAAGTGGTTTAAAATAACATGGTGAGTGAGCTGGTGAACAGCTGAAAGAACAGAGGTTACAGTGATCTCCTGCACTGGAATGGTGAAGAACAGCAGAGTTCAGTAAGATCTTTGGTTGTGAAAGCAGATTGGGTTTAGAAGATGATGACATATAACTCTGTATATATATATGTATTACACACACACAGGGACATACAGATGTAACTGTGTTTTTAACTTGGTACAAATTTGTACATGGAGAAAGCTGAAGCTTTTTTTTGCAGCAATAATGACATTTTCTTTAAATTTGTCTTTTCTAATTGGCCTGTGCTAGAAAAGCTGCCCCAGTGGCATTCTCTCTCTAAGTCTTCTCCATGTTACAGGCTCATTAGAGAACAGATTAGCTGAACCTGAGCCCATGTGTGTTTGTTAGTGTTGTTGGAGAAAAAGGTGTTTGGGACATTTCACTGGCTAAGTAATTTAGTTGTGTTATCTCTGAACTTTGGCTTTTTTGTCTTGTGACTGCTGTAACACTGATGCAAGTGAAATTAGAGATTTTGACTAAGATGATGATTAGAAGTAAGTATTCTCTTGCTAAAGAGAAGAGGGATGTATTTGAAACTAGTGCACTTGCAGTCTGGAAAGCAGCAGAAAAAAATGCTACAATAAGGCATAATACATTATAAAACCAGTAAGATTCACTTGACAATAAAAATTTGATTTTTACAAAGCTGTACAGTTAGCTACTAAAAGTTGTATAATATAGCAATAGGGGGTAACAGCAGAATGTCTGGGATTGAAACTTGGAATTTTTTGAGTGTTTACATACTTTGCAACTTTTTCTCAATGGATTTTGCCATATTTCACATGAAATATTTCATATTGTATTTAATTTTGCTGTGTGACTCTGGTTTTGTAACTATAATAAGTGTTGCTGCAACCTAACCAGCTTTGCCTGTGATTTATTTAGACACCCACAAGACCTGTGCCAAGTTATATTCAGAGACCGGATTATGCTGATCACCCACTAGGTAACCTGAAACAAATCACAATTCTGAGTGTTACGTTTGCTCTCTGTTTTCCTTTCCATTGAAAAAGCCTTTAATGCATGAAGGAGATACTGGAGAAGGGAACCTCTTGTCTGTCCTCACCGTACTACTTCTCCACAGTAACTTACTCATTTTAAACAAATCATGGTTGCAAATATTTTTTGGATACAATACAAAGTTTGTAATGGGTTGTCTTTCAAAGGTGTGCAGGAAATGGAGAGTTAGTTAATTTGGTTTTGGGGTTTTTTTAATCTCAAACATACAAGTCCTAGTTCTGTTGCTAATTTGATAACAAGCAGCAATCAGTTGACTGTCACAGATAAATTCTACTAAACCATTCTCTGTGGCATCAGTGTATCTGTTGAAAGTGTATTATTTTATAATAAAACCAAGGAAACCGTGCAGTATGCAACCCCCCCAAAAGAAAACTGGGATATGAGTTCCAGCTGGTTTTGGACAGAGAGGGAATGCACATTCAAAATTACTTACTTACTGGATTGTTTTGGTATTTTCCTCTTTTTATACCAGTATTGGGGCTTTGCATTTCCCCAAAAGGCTGCTATGAAATCTGTTAGCACTATTTTTTAGTCTTAAGATATTCCATAGTTATTTCTTAAAGAGTGTGAATATTAAAACAACACAAAATACTGGATTTTCTGGGGTTGTTCATCTATAAAGCTGAGATTGCACAGGATTTGGTAGGAAGGATTTACATGTTTTTGTCCGCTGATTATTGCAGTAGTATAACCAGGTATATTCCCATGCTCATGTAACCCGTTATGACTGTGTTAGAATGTAATTTTCACTAATTATTTTCCAACAGCAGCTGAAAAATGCCTTTCTATGACTAACACAACTTCCTTGTCAACCTGATATTTAAGGTTGTGTTTTGACTAACTGGACATGATGGTTTTATGCAGTAAGTGAATGGGTTTCCTGAGCACATGGGGCATTATGGTATTGTGGAAGGCTTATGAATTCCAATTAATCTGAATAATATAATCATTCTGTGGCTTGGTGGGTTTCTTTCTTTAGGCTGTGGTGAGAAAGTCTGTACTTCTATTGCCCTTGGTAAGCTAAGGAAGTTCCTGGATTGGATATGTGTAGCAATCATCACTCTATGTAACATGGATTTTTTTCTTTCTTTTTTAATCTTCTCCCTTTTTTCTTTTCAGGAATGTCTGAATCAGAACAAGCTTTAAAAGGAACCTCTCAAATAAAAATACTGTCATCTGAGGATATAGAAGGGATGCGAGTAGTGTGTAGGGTAAGGGGGTTTTGATTTTTCTGGCAAGGTGCCTTTACAGTCTTTAAAAATCTGTAATCATTTTACCCCTTTTTCACAGCACATTTGAGAGTACAAATGTTCTAACCACTTTAGAGTGCTGAAAAATAGTTTGGGAAGCTTGATATCTTCTGGCTTTTTTCCTTCTTGTGACCCCAGTTCCCAGTAAAGTATTTTGCAAGCAGAAGGATGACTTTTATCTGTTTTGTGCATTTGTTATTACTAGTAAGGCAATCTGTGCCTGACACGTTGTGTTTGTTAAGAATATGTTTTATAGTGCATAAATGAGAACTTTTTCCTCTCTTGGAGTTGGTACTAAGTAAAAACTAAAGAGCAGAACAAAGGCCCATCCTTAAAAATTTTTGAAAAAGAACTGTTCAATTGTAATCACTTCCTTGTGCATAAAGTCAAACTTTGAAATGCATTAGGTAGTTTGATTTAAGATTATGGCATTCAAGGAAAATGTGGTCCAAACCTTAACTGGGATATTGTCAGCTCTCACAGAGGTGGCTGAGTACATGAGCTGGAGGGATCTCAAAGTCTTTCTAGAACCCAACTTCACACAGCTTTCCTGGTTATTTCAGTGTAGCTGTCAAAAATGGGTTACAAATCTTGTAGAGAGTAGTCCTGGCCTGTTTAAAATGAACTTAAATTGAGCCAATAGATCAATTTAAAATCTATTTTAAATTTTTTATTTGTTTCATTTGCAGCTTGCTAGAGAAGTATTGGATGTTGCTGCCATGATGGTGAAACCAGGAGTAACTACTGAAGAAATTGATCATGCTGTCCATTTAGTAAGATAAGTTTATTATTCTTCTGGTGTTTATAAGTGTTTTCTTCTATCGCTTTATTTTAAATGATTATTGTGTGGTTTTCTTTGTTGCATGAATTCCATTTCTTTATTTCAAACTGTTTCCCACTTTGAAGCTGGTGGGTAGTGCAGATGGCAGAAATGAGCTACAGTGCAATGGTAGGTTCAAAGTGATTTAGGAACTCCTGGGCCTCTCTCTGTATCAGTTGCTTCCATATTTCTGGCTTCAGATATCTTCTAAGTTTCTTCGCTTGCTTTCTCAGTTAACATCATGTTTTCTTTCTTCTAAACCCTTTTTGCTCCACAGATACCATTATATAAACAACAACATTTGTAGGCCATGGACTTCTTGTACTCTGTGGTTGGCTAAGACATACAGAGGAGAAAGTTAAATTATTTATGATTGAGAATCAGAACTGAGGTGCCTCAGAGAGAACTGAAACAAGATGTTTGATGCAGTCTGACAAAATAAAGCCACAGTCCAGTGACGTGTTTAAAAAACATGTTCAAGAATGCTTCCTGCCTTAACTTTCTATAGATATTTGAACTTTGCTTTGCTGTCTTCTCTGTGAATCATTTAATCTGTGCATTGTGAGAAAGGAAACAGTTTTGGTATAGTTAAGTTTGTTAGAGAGCTTCCTTTTTGTCTGCATCTGCAGGTGTTGAGCTAAGATGACTTTCATTAGGCTGGAGACTTCTGTTGAACTGCATTAAACAGTTCAAAACTTAAACACAAACTACTGCATTGAACATCAAACTGCTTGCTTAGGCACATTGTCTAATATGAACAACTCGTGGTTAACACGGAGTTACCTCTCCTCAACAGTTTATGGAAACTTTGGCAGGTTGTTGATAGTGACTGATATCCCTAATTGGTATTTTTCAGTTTTAAAAACAGTATTTTTTTTAAAAATTAAAAAAAAAGGTAACACAACTTTTTTTTTCTCAGTACTTTGCTCACAAAGTATGTGTATATATGTATGTGTAAATATATATGAAATGTGTCAGTTTTGCAAAAATACAGTAAGGTTATTACAGTGAAAGGGAAACAGCTTAAGGTTTTAAAGCTGGGGGGAAATAGTGCTAAATATTATTTTGTTTAGCTTGTGTGTCTTGCAGAAATCTCAGACTGAGTGCTTAAAAGCAGTAATTGAAAATGACTTTTTAAGACTGAGTCAGTATTGCCATGCATTGTTTCAAACCTGAATATCTCAGCATTTGCAGTCAAAGATGAAAATGAGTAGAAACAAAATGAAAGTAGCTTTAATTTCTTCCTGGTAAGAGATGCAAGGTATAACAAAAACATTGCCCGGAAATGCTTGAAGAATCTTATTTTCTTGAGTCACTGCTTTTCAGCCTGTCATTCTTACTGCAAAGCTGTTGCACATATGTTTTTTACAGTGTTTTTTCTTTGTACAAAACTTACTGGTGTAAATTGTATTTTCTCTATTTAGGCTTGTATTGCAAGGAATTGTTATCCTTCCCCTTTGAATTATTATAATTTCCCCAAGTCGTGTTGTACGTCAGTGAATGAAGTGATCTGTCATGGAATTCCTGACAGGAGGCCATTGCAGGAGGGGGATATTGTTAATGGTAAGTGCTGTGAAAATGAACCTTCAGCATTTTTATCTTGTGTGCACTTAAACCATGCAATAAGGTGATGTTTCAGAAGCAGGCAACATCATTAGAATAGCTTCTTAAGAGAGGCTTTTGTTCTCATTTGCCAGTTAGGTTCTTCTCATTTACCTCTACTCTTTACATACTTCAATTAATGAATTTTTTAAATAAAATAATTTCAGAACTTCAGTCCACTTGAAGAGCTTTAGTTCTTCTACCCTGATCTGTGCATTAGTATAGTGCCTGAGTATTCCACTTGTAGGCTAGATTCCACTTGTTCCAGGCTGTGTACATATAGGGAATAGAATGTATATTGAATTATTCAACTGGATTAGTTCTGTGTGAATTCTTGATTAGATGGCTCTAGATTGTTACAATTTTGCTATGCTCATTGACGATTATGATGACTGTAGAGGGTCCTAATGTGCAGGCATTGTATAGGTGCATGTTATCTTTTTTTGAGCATCTCACAGCCTAACAATACCAGCTGATTTTTGTTCTTGGTACTCAAGGTGCTTAGGCCTTCTTGGGTGGTGAGAAATACTTTTATAAGTTATTTGACCATGTCTTGTTTTAACCTTAATTTCTTCTTGATTTGGCAGTAAAAATTAATGACACTTTTTTTGTACAAACATTTTCACTTTTGTTTATTGCATTGGTTTGCTTTTCTCTTACCTGTAAATAAATACGCAGAGTGCTCAGGTTTGACCTACCTCTAGAAGCAGGTTGTAATCTTTTTAGATTATCAGATATTTAATACTTGTTGGCTTGTAATAATAGCTATTAAGTCTACATCTCAGTGCTATGGGTACCAGTCTTTTCAGAACAAGTCTCATGATTGCTGCCCCTGTCTAGGTAAGGTATAGTCTGGTTGAAAGCTCTGAGCTTGTAGGTACATGTAACAATGCATGCCAAAGTTCCTTTGTCTTACTTTAATTTCAAAAATGATGCCTTTGCACAGCTCTTTATTATTGCCAGCTATTCTGGCATTGTTGGAGTCCAGCCTAAGAAGCCCAGCTCATAGAATCATGGTTTGGGTTGGAAGGGACCTTAAAGATCATTTGGCTTCAACCCTTGTGCTGTTGTCAGGGACACTTCCAGTATAAACCAGGTTGCTCAAAGCCCCATCCAGCCTGGCCTTGAACATTTCCAGGGATGGGGCACCCACAATTTCTCTGGGCAGCCTGTTCCAGTGCCTCACTACTCTCACTGTAAAGAATTTTCCTTTAGTATCTGATCTAAACCTACTCTCAGTTTGAATTAATTCCTCCTTGTCCTCTCCGTACATGGTCTTGTAAAAGTTACTCTCCATCTTTCTCCTTGGCTCCGTTCAGGTGCTGAAAAGCCACAATTAAGTCACCGCAAAGCCTTTTCTTTTCCAGGCTGAACAATCTGAATTCTCTCAGGTTTTTCTAATTTAAGAGGTACTCCAGCCTTCTAGTCAACATGGTTGGCTTCATCTACACAGTGTCTTACCTCTGCTGTTTGCATACCAAGGCTGTACCTCAGCCCTAGAGAGCACCTTCTGTAAGTGGCTCTAGTCACACCTTTGTCCACATTCCTGCATTTGATCGAGCTTGGAGCCTTCTGCTTTGTTGTCATGAGGAAGAACTGAGCTTCTTTTCTGTAAAGTAGAGGCTCAAAAGCCTCTTGAAAAGGAGGACCAGAACAGTTTACAAGGAGGGATAAAAAAGGTATCTTGGAGGGAATGTACCCAATGAACAACTGAAAGGAAGCGTCCATCTTTTTCTTGATTTAAAACTTTTTAGCCCGGAAGCCATGCCAAAGTCCAAAACAAGTTTTTTGAACCACAGGAACATGTGATCCAGAAGGTGATGTCTAGTTGTTGCAAGTGATGTCTAGTTGTTGAGACCAAAGTGTGTTTTCCCACATCTTCCTATCAAGATGGTATTGATCTCTCTCAGCAGCTCATGTATGATTTTCCTAAAGTATTATTGAACACTACAGCTCCCTTCATGACTGTTTACCTGGGAGATGATTTGGGTGTGGGTTTCTTCATGAATAGCAGAGCATTGGCCCTTCTAGTGGGTTTGGTGATCTAGCAGCTATTAGACCTACCAGCTGACCAACAAAGACTTAGAAACAGAAGTTCCCATTCTGCCATAGCAAGACAACTTGATATGCAAAACAAGGACTACATACCTTTTAAAATTTAATTTCCCCCTATAAGTGCTGGAATTAATTCTGAGAAAGTACAATAGCCAGGTAAATCCCCATAGATCAAGGAGCTTCTCTTTCCCATTTTTATATTTAAAAAACCAATGCTAGCTCGCTGTGTTTGTGTTGCATTGTTGGAGGATTTTTTTCCTCCTCTTCCCCCTTTTATTTCATTAAATCAAACTGTTCACCAGTGCAACACTAACTTACAAATTATTATATAGACTCTACAGGATAAGCATGAAGGACCTGCTTCTGCTGGAAGAGTTTTCTTAGGGAGTTCTTGTGAAGTAACACTTCACAGTTGGAGTGCCCCGTTTGTTCGGGTTTGTTGTTTGAGCAGTGGGAGGCAGGGGTGAGAAGCAGGCGCTAACTTGCCGCGTGTGCTGTGCTGGCAGTGGATATCACCGTCTATCGCAACGGCTACCACGGGGATCTCAACGAGACCTTCTATGTCGGAGAGGTGGATGAGGGTGCCAGGAGGCTTGTCCAGACCACCTACGAGTGCCTCATGCAAGCCATCGATGCAGGTGAGCCCTGCCTGCGGCAGGAACCTTTTGCTTCTCAGAAATGCTTGCTCATGTTGCCTCTGCTCTGCTCAGGGCGACTCCTGGTGAGCACACAGAAGCACTGGTGTGTGGTCACCAGCTGATGATGGGTGCTGTGTAATGCAGTCATGCTTCTATGAGTGCTGGCTGCAACTTCTTTTGAAATGTGGGCTGATGAGGAAAATGTATTTGATGCTGAGCTGATCTGCTGATGATACTGACGTGGAAACAGCCTTTTTTTGACCATTGATGAGTAAGAATCCTTAATCTGAGTAACTTAGAGAATGCAACAAGCAAATTATGTTTTGGAAAACCCTACTTTTATAATTTGTATGGTGTTGCACAGTTAACTGATAAGGTAAAACATTGTGTGAGCACCTAAACATATCTCCTTAGCCCTGCCAAACCTGATGGTTACTTCATAAAGCTAGTTATGAGCTCTTGATTTTGTGTGGCAGTGTGCCAGAGAAGACAGATCCTTATCTTCCAGTACCTACAGAACTTTAATTATCTTGCTTAGATAACAGTCAGGGCAGCTGCATCAAGATATACAATGAGATAAACATGCAGCTACCTTTCTGACTTCAGAAAACAAAAGAAGAATTTCTCAAGTCCCTGGAGGTACTTGTACCATCTGTATCTTTTGTACCCTGCAGCTTCTTAAAATCCCCATTATAATTTAATCACTTCTTGGCCTCTAAAGATTGAAGTTTAAGGTAGTATATATATTAAGGCTTTAAACTTGCATTTAATGAAAAGTAAATGTAAATAAAAGACATTAAAATGAGCACAATTTGGGTTAATAATTTGGAGATGGCTAGTCCAGCTGAAAAGACAAAAATCCATAGGATTGATGTCTTGTGTATCCGTTGTGTGATCAAGAAATTACTGCCAGGTTGAGCTGTGAAGAATAAATTACCTGTTTTTGTGGGATTACTGTTCTGAAATGACCACTTTGTTTTTTAGAGCTAAACCAGAACAGTGTGTATCTTTGATCCTGTACTTTTTTATAGCAATTGTTACATGTGTTGTCTCTTATCCTTTGTATCTTGGCTTTGATGTGGAAACTATGACAGAAATTCCCCTGTGTTTGTTACAATGAGATTAAAATTCTCACTGTAAGTCTTTTTTACCAATTTTTTAGATGCTGTAATGTGTTTTAAAGGGTTTTAGACATTGCATTTGAGTAGGAATTGTGGCAGAAGGTGTCTCACCTGTTAAAAGGGGGTCACCTCTCCCCTCTTTAAATCATCCCAACATCTTGGTGTTGGACCAGCAGAGCTCTAGCTGTATGAGAGAGAAGCAGAGGGCTCCTTGCTCCATTGAAATGAGTTGCACGTGCTGTCAACCCCATACTTCACAGCTATTTAGCACAAACACCACAGATGAATCTCTTCCCCACCGTATCCTTTTTGAATTTTTGGAGAAGTGTTTATATTCCAGTAATACAAATTTCTTGTTATTTTCTGTAAATTCAGCTTAAGGGTTTCAGTTGTAGTTGCTTGCATTAGCAGAGAATTGTACTAAATAGTTGCTGCACATAAAGCTTAAGTTTTATGTGAACTCTGCTTAAGATGGCTCCACACAGCCACACATCTGGCTCCTGAAGAAGCAGCATATATTTAGGGAGTTGGGAAAGCTTGATATTTTGTTTTAAGGGGCTCAAGGTTGTTTTTGGGATGAATCTTCATTAGCTGAATGATGTAACATTGTTGCTTTTATGGTGTTACTACTACCTTGTCCAAGTGCTCAAAGTGAATTTCTCACATCATTTTCGCGTGTTTCAAATTCTCTAACTTGTAAGGCTTCCTAAAGGGATTGTCAAAAAAGTTAAACCTGAATATGAACATTCTTATTTGCTGTAGCGTTGTCATTGAGAATCTTGTCTAAGAGTAGAGATACCTATTTTCCCTTTATTTATTTTTCTAAATATCTGTCCTTTGTGTGCATTTTCCACATAGTAGAGGGATAAGTGTATATTAAAATATGGTTCCTGCATTCATTGCAAAAAGCACTGCAGCTCAGGGTGTGAGAGCTCACCAAGTACTTTGAAAGTCCTTTAATTTCAAACTTTGATATCCTTTTAATGTGACCAGTTACATCCATGAAAGGAAGAAAATAGTATCCTTGTGAAAAAGGTGTTTTCTTCTGTTTCTCTTGGTTTTTTTAATATGAGACAGTTTCTTCCCTCTCTCAAGTGATTGCACTCACATACACACTCAGTGGATTAAGTGATCATAGGGAGTTGCACACTGGAACAGATGGGCACACAAGCCATAAGTGCTACAGAGATGGTGTTTGATGGTTAGTTGTGTTGAAGGAAAGCTCTCTCAATTCCCTTCTGTGTCTCTTTAATTTTGCAGTGAAGCCTGGTGTTCGGTACAGAGAACTGGGGAACATAATTCAGAAACACGCTCAAGCAAATGGATTTTCAGTGGTTCGGAGCTACTGCGGGCATGGAATCCATAAACTTTTCCATACGGCTCCTAACGTGCCCCATTATGCCAGTGAGTATTCATTCCCTTTGAGCTGTCCTGTAGGCACGTGATTTGCAGTGAATGCACCCAATTTACTTGAGCCATCAGGTTGGCATTTTGGCACTTGAGAAATAATTTTTGTTTTTTAACTCTGAACCATAGCATGCTTTATGAACCTGTGCCTGCATTATCTGCCTGCACCAATGGTTAGTCTTAGCTCTCATCAGTACTTGGTAAGTGCTCAAAGTTTTTGCCTGAATTCCCAGCTGAATTCCCTTAGACATTCTTGTCTGGCATGAACTGCCAAATACTTCTCTCCTTAGAAGTTCTATGCCAAACCTTACTGCCGTTTACAGATGCAAATAAAAAGCTCTTTGAATGGAATAGATGGATGTTGTGCCTGAATGTGGATCCTGTTTCTTTCACTTTTCTTCATTTGAATGTTGTCATTTGGTTTTTCTGGAAACTTCATCCTCGTGTGTGGCAGAGGAGGAATGAACATTCCCCCAGTAGTGGTAGTTTTTGGAAATGTCCATGGCACCATGACAATTTTTCCAGCAAGACTAAGAAACAACATCCACAGAGGCAAAGGAATAAGGTTAAGTGCCAGTGGACAACTAAGGGCAGAGTAAAAATCATGAGGCAGTGATCAGCAGGTCACACTCACTTCAGCTGTAAAGCTGCCCTGATCATAGGACACTTATTTCCTCAGACCTGACAGGTGCCTCCATCTTCCCATCTCCTAATGAGCTTTAACATGTGTTATGGTTATAGAATATAGTCTAGCAGTTCCTGACTTTCATGTCATCATTTCCCCAAGTTACTTTTCTGACAACAGAGAAAATCTGTTAATTGCAGGTAAAAGGCTATCAATTCCTGGTATGTACTTCTTGTTGTGTAAAATAAAGAAAATACGGATTCTTTGGAGGTAGAGAGCTTTTTATACCAATTAAAATCCAGTCCAATACAAAGGAAATGTCTGTCTTTCCTGGCTATTTGGAACTTTGAACTTTTTTTTTTCATTGGGCAAATATGTAGAAGTGGAAATATCTGAGGGACTTAAAGCCTCTTGGAGAAAAAAGAATGCTGCTGCTTATTTCTAGCTTACTGTGAAAGGAGTTTGAAGAGCAAAAAGATAATTTTCTAAGAAAAATGTTCTGTTGCTGTTGTGGCAGCTTGATGTCTGAGATTTTTAAAGCCTCTAGGTGATTTAGGCAGTGTAATAAATTAACACAATTAAGGTTAGATAGGGGGATGTAAAATGAATGCAAATTGTCTACAGCAGCAAAGTAGCTTGGAGCTAGTGGTTCCTGTGCAGTTCTGGAGTTTGTTCCAGCTCTCAGACTCAGTTACTTTGGAGCTGTGCTGTCCTTCAGGTGAAACAGGACAGAGGAAATGGGCTGAAGCCTTTCTCCAGTCAAACTGCACTCCTGGAGTCATGCTGTCCATCAGTTCATGTGCTTCCACATAAGCATTTTCAGTGCATTTAACATCAAAATGTTCCTGTGATATTGTCCTGGATGCCTCAAAATGCTCTGCTATTTTATGTTAGCTAATGAATAACAGCATTATCCCTCTGACACTGCTGTGACCCCATTATCCAGGTAATGAGGAGGCAGTGTGTCTTTCATTAATGGAGTCATGGGATAACTTAACCACTGTCACATTTTGACAATTTATTGGAGCTAATGGGTCAGTGCAAACAAGTAAGGAGATTCCAAGCCTTCTCTAAATATCTTGAGTGCTTCTTACTTCTGTTTTTTAATTATGATTTTCCATTATAGAAATGTGCAGAAATTCCTGTATTATATTTTTTCAGTGTTTTATAGAGCTAGAGTTTAAATTCCACTTGGAATTGGAGAGAAAGACAGCAATTAATTTTAAGCATCTTGAGTAAGTATTACAGTGTTGGTGGATGGGGAGAAGGAAAGAGCTAAAGGAAATTTTTATGTATATGTAAAAATGGAGAAGTGAACAGGTCATCTCAGAAGGGTTTTTTGGACTTTACTGTGTTTCTGTTGTATTCTGTCAGGACAAGGATTTGTTCATTTACTAGCATGGTATTCTTCTTTCTAACTTGAGTGTTTATTTTATTGCAGAAAACAAGGCAGTTGGAGTGATGAAGCCAGGCCATGTATTTACAATTGAACCAATGATCTGTGAAGGTGAGCAGTTTTAGCAGTAGAGTAAAATGGTTACTCTCGTTTGCTCCTAAGTAGTGATTGAACAGGGTGCTGGTTCTATCCTGTAGAGCTGATAGATTTTTCATTTCTCTTTGGGGGAGTGATGGCTGTTATTTAAAAGCTGGCAGGAAGTGATGCTCTGTGTTTCAGGTGGCTGGCAGGACGAGACCTGGCCCGACGGTTGGACGGCGGTGACGAGGGACGGGAAGCGCTCGGCGCAGTTTGAGCACACGCTGCTGGTCACAGACACGGGCTGCGAGATCCTGACCCGCCGCCTGGACAGCACTCGCCCCCACTTCATGACCCAGTGATAGCCCACACTGAGCAGGTGCATCAGAACCAGAAATATAGATCTATTTTTTGCCCCTGTACTATGCATTTTTTTAAGAGTACAGACTAGAAAGATGTCACCATTTACTTTGTTCTCGGTGATTGTAGATAAGAGGAATATCTCGAAGAACCTGACCCAATGTCTGCAAAAGCAGAGAAGAATTTAAAGAATTTCCTGCTTTCCTCCTACCTACAACACTCACGCTGTACTTTCCTTTTTTCTTCAATTATCTCTTTAGCACCTTTCTTCCAATTAGACCCACAATTGCTTCTGTTGCTGCCATGATATTAGCTAGAAAAGCGTGGGTAAGCTTTCCCACTGGGACTTGATATTTTGGGATCCAGGTTTTTTTCACCATTTCAGTGTGCCCTGTCACTCTTGGTTTGTGAGAGGCACCTGAGATTTTAAGCATTTCTTATTCCAAAGACTTGCTCTTACTTCTGCAGATACTATTTTGGGCCTTGTTTGTTTATCAGTTGAGAAGGGGGCAGAAGGGAGAAAGATACGCACGTACAAGAATGGGCTACCTTTAATTCTGCCCCCATCTCTCTGCTGGTGGTGATTGCCACTGTGGGTGGCACACTGTGTTAATGGCAGGACTTGTTTCTCTTGCTGGAGATTTGATAGGATGGGAAGTTAACAAAGTCTGTCTTATATGCAGCTGCCTGGAATAAGCTGCTTTTTCGCAAAGCAGTACTTGCAGGCAGCCTCCTGCACCAAAAGTTTGGTGAAGCTGATGTGTCAGACTTGCCTAGGTAAAGGAATGCAACAAGAACCAAAAAGATCCCATGATTCATGGGATCCCTACGTCTGTTAACTGTGGGACATCTTTAAAAAGTACATCCACAGTAGCTGTGGGGGATTGGATTTGCAAGACTTACAGTGAAGTATCTCAAAACAAGTCTGAGTGTGTGAAAATGAAACATGTTCAACACTGTATTCATTTTCTTTTGGTAATTTTTAAACGGGTCATTTTCTTCCCCCTTGGTTGAGTGAGTTTGAGGCTTTTGGGAAGTCTTAGGGGGGCAGCTATGAAAACTGATCTTTTTTTTCCTCAGACAGTGTATAGAGTGGGCAACATTGGTATAAATACCCCTTTATATTTTGTTAGTGGGTCATGGTGAGCTGAAAATGGTTGTGTTAAGGAGTGTGGATTGATCAAGCCTCTCTTTTCTCTACCCTTTCTTTTTCCATGCCCATTTCCCTTCCATCATCTTTAGTGTCTCTGCTGAGGGAATAAATTTTTTCTTCTGAATTGTAATGAAAAATTTTTCAGACCCCATTGTAGACTTCATCTTACACCACTCTAACACAAGAAACTTAAGCCAACACAAACATTAAAAATCATACAATCATGGGCATAAAATACACCTCTTAGAAAATGTCTGGTGAATTTGTTGCCACAGATCCAAGAACATGAAGTGCTGCATACCCTTGGCTCCCTTTGGCACTGCAGAATTTAGGTGGGGGAAAGGGGTTAGTGCTTCACAGAACTGGACTCATCTACTTCCAAATTTGCCAGAAAACATCTTCTCTGCCCTGAGTGCCTCAGACCTCTGTTGCTGTATCACTGCAATGTTTTCATTACTTTATTCTTGTTTTAATTATGCAGTAAAGCGACCTGAAACGATGCACAGAGAGTGCGTGTGCGTGCGTGTGTGTGTAGAGATTTTTAACAAATCAGACTGTAGTACCTGAGTGGGATCACCTGTGCTGAATGAGCTGTGTTGAGGAGATGCCTGTCCTGGAGGTTTGCCCACCATATCCTTCACTTGAATGGTTACAATGGTCTTGCCTTTTCTATGTGTGCGTGTATGATGCAGGGGGTGGGGGGCTTCATTTTTGGTCAATAAAATAAAAGTTGCAGCTGCTTTTAACAGAAATAAGTTTTTTTTTTGGTCTTGTAATCCAAACCCAGACATAGAATTTTCAATTACATCCAGGTTTGCTTGCAGTGGCAGAAGCCCCACTGGTAGATGCATGTACCCACCAGAACTCATCCTTAAACCCACACATGTGCCACTTGGATACCTCTTTGTTGTTGCACTGATACAACCAAATTTAGCACATTTTTAATGCAAGTAGTCTATGACACTATGCATTTCTGCCTATAAATTGAAATCACAGCATGGTAACTGCCTGTAGTGAGTTCATACTAGTGTATTTTTAAATGAGTGGGAAGCTTAGTTAGCATCTACACCTGATCTTGCAACATAAGAGGGCACATCAGCCTTGAGAGCAAAATTTATTAAATAAAAATATTAAGAAAAACTATTTTTTCACCTATCTAGCTATGTCTTTGCTTGAACACGACATACTAGATTTGTGCTGACTGGATTGTGGAAATCAACTATTTTTATTCTTACAGAAGTTGCTATCCACTTAAATAAAAGATCCTAACTTAAATCTCCTTTTAATGACATTTTTAGCAATTGTATACTTTTACCAAAAACACAATCCTGCAACTAGTTCTGAATCAATCTCTTAATGTGTTTTCCCTTTACAGCAGTAACGGGAAGATACATTAAAATGACTTATTTTACTATAAGTCAGTGTGAAAATTCTTCATGCTGTTTCTGCAACTTGACTTGAATATTTAAGGAGAGAAGGTTTGGTAGATGGTGTTGAGTAAGAGTAACAGCAGGAGTGGCCAGCTTCCATGTTTCACATGACAGCCCGAGAGTACATGCACATTGCCTTCACAGTGGATGTGCAGTTCAATACAGTACCTTGGTCACCAAAAATGGGGTAGAAGCTCTTGGCTTTGAGTCCCTTGGTTTGCTGAACAACTTCAAAAAAACCCTATTTCAAACATGCCCCATTCAGTCAAAAGCTTTGCAGGATGAAGTAATGGCTGGGATAGCAACTCCTCATGCTGGGAAGAAGCTGGAAGTCTTTGGCCCAAGTGCTGTGGTATCACTACATCTCTTTGTTGTTGGTATTACAGCCTGGCTTCCCACAAACACTCTGAGATGCAGATTCTCTGAAGTAATAATGTAATGCAGACAAGATTGTGTGGTCTTCATCTAGCCTGTGCAGCACAGAGGACCAGCTGTTCCAGTGTTAGTATGTTAAATCTGTTAGATCCAGCTGGTCTGCCAGGTTAGCTAACATAGTATTGATACCATCTTCTAATTATGGACTACTCTCACTGAACAGCTTAACAGCAAATTTTCTACTGGATTTTCTGATGTTCAGCCAGCCCTCCTAGAGATACAAGGTATTGAGAGTCACCTCATTGCTGGGCTAAAAGGCTCAGTTTCTTGTTACCAATTCAGTTTTTATTTCCTCCTGATGCTCAAAATTGAATTCTAATGACATTCACAGTTGTTCTTTACTGTCTAAAATTAAGTAGAAATGCAGTACCTCAACTATTTTCAGAATGCTGGAAGGGATATTTTTTAATGAGAGATGGAAAAGATGTAATTGTCCCAGTTGCATAGCAGTGGCTTGGAGTAATTGGTGGTGGTGAGAGAGAATTTCTTATAATAAGATTACTATTTGCATTCTGTGTTGTGTGCTAGAAGTTGTTTTGACCAGGGTTCTTTAAAACATGAAACTTCTCCCTTAATCAGTGTCCTTGATTCACTGAGAAACACTGAGTTTCTATGTATCTTTTTTTTTTTAACTGGCTGGGCTGCCTGTGCTTTGCAGTTTATTTTCTGCTATTTCTGTGTTTTTCTGGATGTGAGGCACTGGTTCCAGGTTTCAATACAAAAAGAACCTTATCCAGTCAGGTCACTTCTCCTAGAGTTAAGAAAACCTGCAACTCCAAAACTGAGACTTAACCCCTCCCTCTCCAACAAAAAAATCCCAGAAAACCCCAAAGCCATCATCATGCAATGCTCTTTCCTGTTCCCCTGCAGCCCTCAAGAGCAGACTTGCTCTAATTGTAGTATTTCCTGCTTCAATGGCATGATCAGGTTTCTGACTAGAGGTGACAATCCTATGCTGTGTGTTTTTGCAGTGTTGGCTGCAAAGTTTGCTTTATTTGCCAGTAAGTTAAGGAAATGGGACAGCTGTCCTACTGCAGCCTTGGAGGACACCACTAGAGCAAGTGACCAGAGCAGTCTGTGCCATGATTTTTACAAGAGGCTGCCAAAGAGACCAGTGAGAAATAAGGCAGAACATGGACCACCCCAGTGAACATGGGTAGCCCTGGACACCAAAGTCTCTGCTCTACATTTGCCTTCAAGGTGATCTGGATGCTACAATCCACTGTAGTCCTAGAATCGCCTCAGAAACTTGGCAAGTTCTGACCCCTCTCTCAGCACAGCTGCAGCAAATGCAGGCTGCTTCTCACCCCTGTGCCTTGTGCAGTGAATCCCACATCGTTTGCTGCAGACTCTGCAGAACACTCCCTCTGTCACATACACACTGAAATCACTAGAGGAAAACAAGAAAGACACAGTCACTCTTAATGCTAAATAATTCCAACACTGGGTTTAGAAATAAGCTTTTATTAAGTCGATTTGAGTTAGCCACTATTGAATTTGAGGAATGAGTATAGAAACAGAAGTTCCATAATCAGGACTAATTCCATAATGCTATTCAGTGATTAACAGTTTAGTACCCAGAATGCTCACCCTAAAATACATGTCTTTCTAGTCCCAGTGAGTTTTCAGTTGCTTGATTCTATCTTCTATCAAAATTCCATTATAACAAGGCAGTCAGCATGGTGCTGGCCACTTAGAAGATCCGTATTTGGCTCTAAAATTTCAGGACAGTTCGAATGCTTAAAATAAAAAAAAGAAAAAAAAATTACCAAGAAGTCAATTTTCTCCCCATCTCTCCCCTCCCTTTCATTGCTGAGACATATTTTAACTTCTGTCTTTTGTCATGAATGAAGTCATGCTTATGCCTATGATATTTATTAAAAATCCAGTATAATGCTTGTTCTCTTCAGTTTTTCTTTCTCTCCTCCAGTAAAATAAACTCCAAATGAACTCTTTTTCTTACTAGGTGTTACCTTTCAGTAGTAGCCAAGGAGCAGTAATATTTACAGGCATTCTCCCTTTTGTCTGTTTGGAAAAGGTTAGGTAGCTTTCATTATTAGTTTCCTTGGACATGCTCATGTATGAATAAAACACTGAAATGCTACTGAAGTTTGTAACTGGGACAGGGATCAACTGCTGGATGAAATTTGCATAAATACAGTGTTTCCAATTGTAACAAATACAGTCGACTGATTTATCCAAAATAGAATCCATATGAGCTAAAGCAGATAGAGCTAATACCTTCTCCAAAGTTACATACAATAGATAGATATGTAGATTGAGATCAAATACAAAGACCATGCTGGTTTCTGGAGACAGTGGTCAAAACTATTTGTCTATCTGCAGAGAATCCTAAATATTATTGAATAATCTTCAGTCTCTTTAAATTCCTTATTATAAGGGAGAATGTTTAGCAATGGTGAAAGCCTGAGACTGACCTGTCCCCTTTACCAGCTTTTTATCTCTATTTCTCTTTTACACTGTTGCTTGCTTTTACTGTGTGCCTGTGTTTTGGCACATGCCTGGAAAGTCAGAGAAGTGTGTTTTTATCAGAATCAATGCATGTGGTATATGTTACCCTTTAGCTTCCCTGTTTAAAATATGACAGTGGGCAGGGAGCCTGTACTTTGACAGTGTCTGATCAAGAAGTGTCTTGTATACCTTTCAATATTGTGAACATTACCTTTTTCCTGAATGCATCAGCTCAAAAGCCTCATTGATTTTGTCAAAAGGCAGCGTGTGAGTCACAAATTCATCAACCTTGATCTTTTTGGACATGTATTCAGTCACCAGTTTTGGTACACTGTCTACACTCTTCCAGCCTGAAAGAAGGAAAACATGCCTTGTTTTTTCCCTTTTCCACCCATCTCAGAAAACACAGCCCTAACAAAACTTGTATCATCAATATGAAAAGGAGCAGAGATGAGTGACATGTCTGTCCCTCCTACAGAGGTCTGGCAAAAGCACACATTATCCAAACACAAGTATTGGTGAAAAATCTTTTACTAGGTGTTCCAGCATTCAGCATTGACAGCAGCCCTCACCTACGAAAGTATACACATGGCATTTCTATCAGACCCCTTACATTCTTTATAACCCAACCCAGTAAGTTTTTTACTGCTTGGACAAAGAGCAGTGTAATAATTCAAAGTCTGAAATTGAACTTCCATCAACTTCAACAACTACTGAATTCTCAAAAAAAAGAACTCAATGTGGTTTTGAGTTGACAGCAGAAAATGTGTATCAAGCACTTGTTTTGTCATGTTGGCCTCACAATTTACTTAGTGGTTAAGCAACACAAATATGTAAGTTCCCATCTCTCCAAAGACCAGGTCCTTTCACTGGATGGAACTGAACCAAACCTTCACTTGGTGGTAAAGCAGTTTCCCTATCCCATTCCTTTAGTACTGAGTAGGATATAGATATATTCTCTCTTCAAAATATGTTAGATATGATACCAATGTGTTAATCTGTACCCTTTCTATAGGAATAACAGATTTTAAGAGTCTTTATCTTAAAAGCCAACGTAGCATTTATGAATAGCCTGTCAATAGTACATTTCTTGCACAAGCAAAGCCAAGGGGGTGTGTTCTTCCCAGCTTTAGCCCACAGTAAATTATTTTTATCCCCACAGCAAGAGAGAATTACCTCCAAATGCAGTCCCTTTCCATGTCCGCCCAGTTACAAGCTGGAATGGCCGTGTGGAGATCTCCTGGCCAGCAGCAGCCACTCCAACTATCACACTGAGTCCCCAGCCTTTGTGGCAGGCTTCCAGGGCAGCCCTCTTCATGGACAGACAGGACAAAGCAGGGTGTTTATTGCTGAGGTTTACACTGCCTGGACTGGTAGCACTTCCTTTCCCCCAGTTAATGAATCACCACATCAGCATTTAAGGAACAGTAAATACACTGAAAATTACATTATATTTTTCATTCAGGGTTCAGATTCCCTTACACTTTTAAAGATTCACTTTGCCCTTTTTATATCCTATCTAGCTTTCAGAGAAGTCACTCTGAACTCCCACTGAGAGTCGGGATAAACTGTAATCACAGACCATATTACCAACAGTAAGGAATGCTACTGTAATTCCTGAAAATCCAGCCTTACAATTAGTAGTACTTCTGCATTGCATTTCCAAAGGTGAAATTAATTACTTGAGAAATCAGGGAAATGCTTAGTGATCCCTGAGATTTTACTGTTCATTGCACAATAGATTTTATAAGAGTTTTGTTAATTTCAACTGTCAGCACAGAGAAACTCAGGACCTCAAAACAAGTCTGATTAAGGAAAAAACATTTGTAAGTGCCATTTTCAACCCAAGAAGT